GCGGTGGTGGCACAGGAGTTAAGTGCTCGCCCCGTAATCGGAAGGTTGCAGGTTCGAGCCCTGCTCAGTTTGTTGCTGGCATTGTGTCCTTGGGCAAGACACTTAACCCCCCGTTGCCTGCTGGTGGTGGTCAAAGGGATCAGTGGTGCCGGTGCTCGGCAACCTCACCTGTGTCAGTGCACCCCAGAGCAGCTGTGGCTACATTGTAGCTCATCCCCACCAACGTGTGAATGGGTGAATGACTGATTGTGTTGTAAAGTACCTTAGGGGGTTCCAGGACTCTAGAAGGCGCTATATCAAATACAGGCCATTTACCTTTTCCTCGCCTCATCAAGCAACCATGCTCACCTGTGCCTGGTCAGTTTTTTTCCACTTGTGCTCCCATGATCTAAGTTCCCTGCAGCCCCAGGGCTGATGAAGGATCATTTACATTTTTCAGGCAATCCACAACCTTCATGCAACAAATCTATAAGCTTCTCCTTATATCACTGATATGTTAAAGCCCTGTATTCCACCCGGAGCACTGGGATCCACAAACCAGAACCTTCTAGAAGTTCCAATAACCTGATTCTAAAAGTCGAGGGGATCGCTCTTTCCAGGCTTTTGCACCTCAGCTTTGGACAGAACTTCCTTTAATTCTAACCACAGTTTGGACACCTTTAAAAAGCAGCAGAAGGCACTTTTATTTAAAATACATTTTGTTTAAGTCTTCTGTGTTTTCTTCATCTTTAATATCATTTTCAGTTTTTAATGATCTTTCATTTGTTTTACAATATTTGCTTCTAATGACAGTTTTGATCTTTTAATGACGTTTTAAGTCTGATGTGTTTTTCTTTGTGATTTTTCCTACTGTGATCGGTGCTATACAAACAAACGGTGTTCACTACAAACCTTGATGCTTCTCGTAAGCCGGCTTCAGCTCCAGTTCATACCCAGCCAAGCCATGCGAATAAGTCACCTTCATGTCAAATCAAGTCAGGTCAATTTAAAGTCCCACCATGCCTTCTTTCCTTACTTTAGGAAATCTTCACTATGTGCTCCATAATGTGTGTTGGCTGAGTCCTTTGGTCCAATTCAGTTATAATACCACGCCCACAATGGTGTTCTGCCTGGTATCAGTGATTGGATTTGAAGCAGACACTGACCTGCTGTGCAACTGTGCCATGCCACGGTGTTGTTGGAGGGGAGTAAATCCAGAGAAACTGTGTTTTGTGAGCTGAGAGCTGATTTGGTCAGTTCTCTGAGCCCTCTTCCAACTGGGTAATCGGCTTCATTGCTTACACGGTTTGGAAAAGTTTTTTTTTTAAATACTTCTTTATAACATAGAAACTAACTTTTTTTTGCGTATCACTGAGAGTTGGATCTCTATGGATGATTCGGATACAGGGCCGTGTCCTAGAACCCCTGTTATTCTGTCCTTTCCTGCCGCCTCTCCACCTGTATGCAGATGATTGTCAGATCTACATCCCCTTGCATCAAGGGGTAAATAACTTGCTTAATCCATTGCTAGCTTGTCTGGAGGAAGACAATCCCTGGATTCAATTCAATTCAATTCAAGTTTATTTATATAACGCCAAATCACGACAAGAGTCGTCTAAAGGCACTTCACATAATAAACATTCCAATTCAGGTCAGTTCATTAAGCCAATCAGAAATAATGTTTCCTATATAAGGAACCCAGCAAATTGCATCAAGTCACTGACTAGTGTCAGTGACTATACAGCAATCCTCATACCAAGCAAGCATAAAGCGACAGTGGAGAGGAAAACTCCCTTTTAACAGGAAGAAACCTCCAGAGAATCCTGGCTCAGTATAAGCAACCATCCTCCACGACTCACTGGGGATCGAGAAGACAGAGCAGACACACACACACACACACGCACGCACACACACACACACACACACACACACACTCACACACACACACACACACACACACACACACACACACACACGGACAAGCAATGTGTCTACAGTTATAATGTGATGTCTTAGTAAATATTCTATTTGGTGAAAGATAAACTTTATTGTATTTATCCTAGTGGATCTATAATTAAACGGATAAACTAGTATTAGCACATCAAAAGTCAAGGAAACCAAAAAGTTATCATCAGGAGAGAGAGAATGTTTAAGTGGATGGATGGCATCAAATGTTTTGCATTTCAATGAGAGCAGAACACAGGACATAATTATTGGCCCCAGAGAGAGTATTCGTCAGGATCATAATCAGGACCATGGCGCTGAATGAACGGACCATTGTTACTAATCCAGGGTCAAAGAGTGATGCAGTCCTGAAACTTGATGCACGGGTAAGGACCGTTCGGTCTTGTTTTAACCTGCAGTGACTGGCTGAGATGTGTGACACATGTTTTTGTCCATCAGACTGATTTCTACAACACAGAATCAAGCTCCAGTTGCACGCTTGCATTTGGTCCGGAACTCTGCAGCCAGGTTCTTAACTGGAGCTAGGAGGAGGAAACATGTCACTTCTATGCGACATCTATGCACTGGCGTCTGCTTTATTACTGGGCGAAAATTTAAAACACTCCTGTGCGCTGCAGCACAACACTCCGAGTGTTTAGGGGCATTACCGCATGCTCCATCTGACTCTCTTCGCTTAACTGAGCAAGAGTTTGACCCACGGTCAAAACTCAATTCCTGAGCATTTTTATTATTGGCACCAACCCTCTGGAATGGGTTCCCCTTAGTTCAAGAGTTGCAAAGAAGACTCATTTTTACTTGTTGGCCTTCTAACATGTACCTTGAATCTGACCTGATGCCTTTTGTTTATACTCCTTTATCTTTTTTTTATTTCTACATGAGTTTTTTTTATTCCATTGATCCATTTTTACTTTTAACTAGGGATGGGTACCGAATTCGGTACTTTTTAAGGCACCGACCGAATTCCATAGTACCGACCGAGCACCGATTCACATCATTTCAAACGGTGCCTCGTTTCGGTACCCGTCCTTCATAACGAGAACTTGCCAAGACAGCTGCGCATGCACAAGAGCGTTATGTCGTCGCTCGCTGCGAGCGAGTTGTAAACAGAGCAGCATGGTAGAAAGAACACACGCTAAAGCTTGGGTCCATTTCACTAAATGTGATGGGTAACTGGGTGATGATGAAACCAGCAACAACGATCTAAGTGAGACATCCTCATCTTAATCTGCTCCGGTAGGTAAATATAATTAGCTTGATATGTTAGCTTCCGTTCCGTAGTGAGGGGCGGTTCCGTACGTCCATTAGCTGATAACAATGGTAGCAATGGAAGCTAACATATCAAGCTAACGTTATCTTAAACAGTTTATTTAGCTGCTGGAGCAGATTAAAATGATGATGCCTCACACTTAGATCGTTGTCGCTGGTTTCATCTTCACCCAATCACCCGTCGCATTTAGTAAAGTGAAGCCAAACTTTAGAGCGCGTTCATGTTCTTCTTGTCGGAAATTCGGAGTTCCGAGGAGAAAGCGAACGCACCATTAGCGGAACGGAAGCTAATATATCAAGCTAACATTATCTTAAACATTTTATTTACCTACCGGAGCAGATTAAAATGAGGATGTCTCTTAGATCGTTGTCGCTGGTTTCATCATCACCCAGTTACCCATCACATTTAGTGAAGTGGACCCAAGCTTTAGCGTGTGTTCTTTCTACCATGCTGCTCTGTTTACAACTCGCTCGCAGCGACTGACGACATAACGCTCTTGCGCATGCGCAGCTGTCTTGGCAAGTTCTCGTTATGAAGGATGGGTACCGAAACGAGGCACCGTTTGAAATGACGTGAATCGGTGCTCGGTCGGTACTATGGAATTCGGTCGGTGCCTTAAAATGTACCGAATTCGGTACCCATCCCTAAGCATGATAGGAACAAGTTATGTCCAAGATTAACGTAAGTCTGCGGCAGCACAGAGACCACCCCATGCCCCCTTCATGCAGTCATCGCATCATCTTTTGTAAAAAGGACACGATCACGCAGCATTACCACCACTTCTAAACAACCTAAGGCTCCTTGATGCTGCTTCAGCATCGTGGCAAATTGAAGGCATTGTTTTGTAAAAACGGCTTTAGCCTCAATCAAAAAAAGAATTTCTCTCTGATTCTCTAAACGAGTCATGTTTCTGACTGCTGTCTAGTGCAGGTAAGATACTGACAGCTGATCACTTCACAGGATGACACAGGAAAATACAAACTAGTCATTAAAGTTATACCAGTACAACTGGTGTTATGAAGAAGCTTTGATTTTATTCCTCCATGACTGATATTTTCATATTTTCGTCTTTACGTGAAAGAGGCTCATGTGTTTGGAGCAGGGTGGAAATCCACAGCAAGCGCCGACCTATGCTCTCTGTAGATTTCTCTGTGCTTTTGGGTGCTTTCATTGATCAAACATTTTAACAAACACACCACAAATACACCAACACTTGAACATGCACCTCTGTGCACGCTTCAACCTGCAAGTGTGTTGAATCATTCAGCGTTATTACTTTAGTCATAGTGTTGGTTTCATTAGTTGAATGGAATCCTGGATAATTAAGGAACGCATGTACTTTCACACACCTCACACAGTCCTGATGGCGAGCTGCTACTGGAAGTCCTGTGACCTACATGGGGACGTGTGTGGGATGCATCCCACTCTTCCGCTTGACAATACATCGTTAACCCACTTCTGTCTGCTCAGAGCTTTGGTCCCAGCTCACCTGAGCTCACTCATGTGGAGGATGGAGACCAGGTGCTCACAGAGCCACTCAGACACGCAGCACTGATCTGATTCAGGTCTCTTTCTCTCCTGGCTTTCCATCATCTTATAATCACACACACACACACACACACACACACACACACACACACACACACACACACACACACCCTCCTCCCAATACACAAATTCTAACTCGTTTATGCTTAGTTTCTCTCTCTCTCTCTCTCTCTCTCTCTCTCTCTCTCTCTCTCTCTCTCTCTCTCTCAGATTCCCTCTTCTTCCCTTTACTCTTTGCCTCTCTTCTTCTTCACAACACACACAGATGCACATACACTTTTTTTTTTCCCTTCTCCTCCTTCCCCCCTCCTCCTCTCCTCATATCCACCGGCAACTGCTCTGAACAGTCTGCATCACCAAGCCAGTGGATCCCATCACTTGACTAATTAGCCTTGAAGTGCTGCTGAAGATCATCATATTTAGCTTAGCGACCGAGCAGAAGAGCGAAGACAGATATAGACCAGTCTGGCTGGAAGCTGGCTGCCAGGCAGCGGTCGAGTTCTCCATCCCTCTCTCTCTCTATTCACACTCAGCACCGAGGGCTGATGAGTGGCGGAGCGGCGGAAGTGAGGGGCGGTTATGCTTTGAAAGAGACAAGAAAGGGGAAAGAGAAAGAAACGAAGAGGAGACAACCAAACCACAGAATGCCACTTCACTGCAGGAGCAAACCCTCTGAATAGACTTCCCAGGAAAACCGACGCTGTCCTGCAGCACATTTAAGGTGAGACTTTTCCAAACTACCTATTACTCCGTCTTTACCCTTACAAGTGTGTGTGTGTGTGTGTGTGTGTGTGTGTGTGTGTGTGTGTGTGTGTGTGTGTGTGTGTGTGTGTGTGTGTGTGTGTGTGTGTGTGTGTGTGTGTGTGTGTGTGTGTGTGTGTGTGTGTGTGTGTGTGTGTGTGTGTGCGTGTGTGTGTGTGTGTGTGTGTGTGTTTGTGTGTGTGACCCACATATTTGAACCTGAGGAGCAGTGCAGCAGGCATTCCTGACTGTAATAGGATGTCTTTCTACCTCCTCCTCTCTTACCTCTCTCTCTCTCTCTCTCTCTCTCTCTCTTTCTTCCTCCAACTCACACACATACATACACACACACACACACACACACACACACACGCACGCACGCACACACACACACACACACACACACACGCACGCACGCACACACACACACACACACACACACACACACACCATCTCTTCTAAAAGTATCCTCTCTGTGGCAACACTTGCTGTAGTCACATCTAATCTAAATACTGAAAGACTGCCTAAATGAACAGTTCGTGTGTCACACACGGAGTCTGGTTGCCGGGATGCGAGACTCAAGGATGCACATCATAATGACCAACACGGACAGCAACACAACACACAATCAGTCACGGCAGGATTTCTGCCTGATTGCGTTTCACTGGTTTGGAACACACAGGGACCACAAAAGAATAAGAACTGTATTTACAGCTCACAGTGTGTGTGTGTGTGCGTGTGTGTGTGTGTGTGCACGTACAGATGCTTTAATCTGCTGCCATAAACTGTCCTACAGTTTCTTCCTTTATTGTGTTTCCCTGAGCCGTGATTCACTTTAAAACACACAATCTCTGCAGCATATGCTCAAACTGAAATTCTGCAGCAATAGTTACTAGTAGTGTGACTATGCAACACATTGTAGTGTGTGCACATCATAAACACACGTGTGTGAGAAGTTTGCTTTATGAAGCGGTTTGTGTATTTTTAACAGCTCGTGAACCAGCCTCCTATTTCGACAGACGGCTGAAGCTGAAGAATGCGGTCCCTGACAGCTCTGGGAGGGCCAATCTGAATCAATATAATTAAAAATGAAGCCATCAGTCACTCACTGCACACAATTTACACACTGGTGGAGAAATGTCTTTGGAGATTTCATTTCCATCACAATTTTAGTCACCATTCCGGAAGCTTTTGTAAGATACGTCAGAATTTCTATTAGATTCATGTTTTCAGTAGATTTTCTCTGAATATGTGTCAATTAAATCTTTAATGTCAACACAAAGACAAAGTTGCATTTTTGCAGTTTGTTTGATGAGGTAAGGGTTAAATCATAATGTAGGGTAAACATTTAGTATTTTAGGTATTGTAAGGTAAGAATGTTACAGGATTTTCATTCTAAAACCTCTTTTTAGTTATTTTTCTAATAATTTCAGTTATTAATCTAATTTGATATAAGCAGGCAGGTCATTACATGCGCTATATTATTCTCCATATTTCAGCCGTATTTCCTGTTTTCAAACAACCATAAAGGTATTCTCTAGGGATGCACCAATACCTCTTTTTTCCAAACTGATACCATACCGATACTTGGATCTGAGTACTCGCCGATGCCAATTACCGATACCAATACTTCACCCACACAAAAAAATGCAACGATTTGGAAAACAGATTTTATTTTCTTCTCTGCTTTCAACAGGAAAAGACTGTGAGCTAGATAAAAAGTAAAGTATATGAATGGAAATCATCACAAAACTAAAATATTAGGTGAACAGAAATGACAAGTTACAGTGAAGTCATTTTCAAGCAACTGCATTGGTATCGGTTCCTGGTATCGGTTAACTTTTACCGATACCGATACTGGTATTGGTATTGGCATCCCTAGTATTCTCCACACTTGTGTCATCAGAACTGCAGCTCTTCTTCTGTGATTTTTATCTCCACACGTCTGATTATAGGCCAGAACTTGTCAAGTGGACTCTACCACTTCACCCGTAACAGCCGCTGATTGGGGGAAAGGGCTGAGAAGACACCATCAGCGGTAAAGTTGTGGAGATAATTGTGGTTGAGGAGGAGTGAGAAAGGCGTGATATCCGAGCACAAAACCAACCGCTCTCAGAAGGAATCGGTTCTACAGAAGCTTCCGGGGGTTAGCTCCATGAGAGATTGCATGAAGACAACAAAGTTCTCAGCTCTGAACAAATGCTTTCGCTGTTTTAATCAAAAAGGAAGCATTCAAAAGCCTGTTGAGGTTTTGCTGAACATAAAATCTGGCATAATTTAGTTGGAGTTGAGCCAGTTGCATGCGAGAGAGCCCTCCTCTTGTTACTGTAACTTTTGCTTTTTCTCCTTCTTCTCTTCCCCTTCCAGGAGCAGTTTTTTTTAACTTCTACCTGTTTTGCTCCAATCACAATTACGTCCCATTGCTGACTCTGCTGGCTTTTGTCTGCCACAGTTCTGAACCGTCTCCAAACGTCAGCATCACGGCGTTGTCTCTCTCATCTCCGTCTGTCAGGCTTTTGTTTTTGATCATCACTCGTCTGTTTCCACTCTACTTCTCCTCCTTTCAGCCTCATTTCCCTCTTCACTCTTTTCATTGCCTCCCAGTTTGATTCCTGCGTACATGCATGTGTGTGTATCATGCAGAATGCATCTTTGCATGTTTGTGTGTGTATATTCAAACGTAGGTGTGCGTTTGCAGGAAAAATCTTATTTTTTGTACTTTTTATTTCTGTCATGAAAGGATTCCCTCTTTGAGGATTTTGGGCAGACATGTGGAGAATAGACGTGTTCTTTTAAATGCTGGAAGAACTGGAGTGGCCATTCTCATGGCGCTCGTGTTCTCTGGGAGGTTTATCAAAAAGAGCCACATCTACCCCAATTGACGCAACAACAAGATGTAAAAATGTGTTTGTCTTCTTGCAGATTTCTTGTTTTTACTTCTTTGTCAAGTAGCGTGATGAATTGTCCATTTCTGACCTAAAGGCCCTGCTCTATTTGCTCTGCCCAAACAGAAACACACGTTTCTGACACAAGCCTAATCTACAAGATATGGGCCAAGGCCACTCATGCTCTCTGGTCTTATCTAAACTGTAGCTTCCTCGGACAGCACAAGAAAGATGAAAGAAGACCAAGAACTCTGTTAAATAATAATTAAACAACTTTGTTAGTCCAAATAATAATGTGAAGCTAATGTTCAATCAAGTTGTGAAATAAGAATATTAATTACGTGATATTATAATCCTATGATAGCATATAATAAGTAATATAACTTTAAATACTTATACTAGACTGATCACACTTAAGGCTAAAGTCACATGACACATTCCTTTGTTTCTTTTTTTTTTTTTTTTTTTTTTACCGTGTCCTGTCTGGCTGTGAAGCAAACACAATTGATGTCTGAATGCTGGTGACAAGCCTTACAGATTTACTCTCAGGTGGAGCATCAAAGCGTCTGCTTTTAATGTCACTCCTGATACTTAAAACTTTATTGTTATTGTTTTTAAATGATTTGTAATTCCGACCAGACATGGTCAGAGGTGAAAGAGAAAGGAAAAGACAAAAGGTGGGGAGAGAGGGTGGAAGGGGGTGGGGTTCCACAAAAACAAACAATAATGAACAAGAGTCTGCTTCTAGACCTGCAGAAAGAGACAAGAAAAAAGCAAGAGAAAAAAAATGGGACACAACAACAATACAAGATCAAGCTATCACTGCGTCAACTTGATGAAAAAATATATAATCAACATTGTTTAATCGAACAGTCACACGATAATAAATCATAGTGCATTTAGTGGCAACGACAGCCTTGAGACAAGTGTTGAACGTGCCTAAGCCCATACTTATGAGAGCACCATGTGAGCACCTGTGTGTGTACACACGCTTGTTTATGTAAGGTTTCTCTATAGGAGCGTCCAACAGAGAGTGTGAGGGATCACAGATCCACCCCCCAAAGATGCGTAGGAGACGGGGGGAGCTCCAAGTCCCAGAGATCCAGGCGCTGCCCCAGAACACAGGAACCCCAAGGAGACTGCAACCAGAAAGGCCCCCGCCCCCCTCGAGAGGCACAGAGGATCGCCTCGGGGGGCCACAACCAGCAGCCGGCAGAGTCCCGGGAGACATCAGCGGCAAGCCCTCAGGCCCGCCCGCAGCCTCCCACCCCCTAGCCGGCCGAGCCCGGAACCCAGCGACCCAGGACCCAGGGGCGACCACCCCCGCTGGGGACTCAGCAGAGCCCAGGGACCCAGACCCCACCAGGCCGCCACCGGGATTGATCAGGCAGACGCCAAAAATCTTAAACCCCCTGACCCGGGAGCCACGAACACTCAGGCAGACCAAGGCACCACACCCCACACCAGGTGTAGCAGGGGGAGGGGGGACGAAGATCTATATCATCAAAAGAAGTCCCAGGAGAGGGGAGGAGTCAAAGGCCCCACCTGACATATACAGTCATACACAAACACAGTCACACACTCCCTCCCTCATGCTCACACATGCACATACAACCAAAGACTTACAAAAATGCACGCCGGACATCCACTCATGCTCCCCATACACACCCTATTCACTCTGGTCCCGGTACTGCTGCACATGGGGTACAACCATCACCGGCTACCAGAGTTTGACCCTTCACATTCCTTTGTTTCTGATCCAATCAGAGCCTTCCAGATCTGACGTAAGGCGTGGTTTTGTTGGTGCTTGTATAATCCCCTTTTGTTGGCAAATTCTGATTTGACAGTAAATCAAACATCCAAATTATAAAACTATGCCCCACGTCATCTTAACTTCAGTTCAAAGCGTTCTAGAGAAGTAATCAGAGTGACCAATCCGTAACTTTCCTCTTAAAGCCGAAATAACCTAACGACAAGCTGGATTTAATCTGTTGCATGTTCCACTTGCTGCAACGGTTCCTTCAGAATAAAAGCTGAACCATCACGACCCTTCAGGGTCTCGCTAGATGCCAATAAAACTGTCGTGACTTGGGAGTATCTCAAGACGGGACTGGTTGGCAATTGCGGCTTTGCTACAGGCTTCGGTTCCAGACATGGTCCAAGCTGGACCTCGACACCTCGTGATCTAAACGGGGACTTCCGTTGGGGTGCGTAGACCGACAGATGGCGTCTCAATGTGTGTTATAATCTCCAAACCAAAGCTTAGAGCGAAACACCATTTCACTCCCATCAGAACTAATCATTTCTCTGGATTTGCTGGTTCTGAACATATTTCACACACACACCATCCTCAGTCTTACTCCACCTTAGTTCATCATCACATAGTGTTTAAAGTTAGTCTTGTTTAATTTTTTTGGAAATAAATCTTTTAACTTTTTAAACCTGACTCTCTCTCTTTCTTGGAGTTGATACGAAGTGTTGCTCAATCCCTGCAATAAAAAGATCTGATCTTCTGGTAAAATTTACTCAAAGATCCATTAAGGTGATATTTCATATTTCATGATATTTCACATTCTATGGGTTCTAATTAAATGTAAGAACATCTTCTCTACAGTCACATTTGTGTAATTTAGATATTTATATCAGACATGGGTAGCCTCTGTAAAGACAAAATGTGTGTTTATAGTGATAATTTTCTTTTGGGAGTCTGAAAAAAGCCACAACCTGTTGATTTCGTTCCTACTACCTTGTTTGTCAGGATATTTGACCAAATTGGCCCATGCATTGTAGATTTTATTAATTTATCTGTACAATCTGGCTCTGTACCATCTGTTTTCAAACATGCAGTTGTTGAACCCGTTTTTAAGAAACCAAGATTGGACTGATCTCAGCCTAAAAATTACAGACCCTTTTCTAAATTACCCCTTATCTCTAAAATATTGGAAACGTTGATTCCAACTGATTACTTTTCTGGAACTACACAACAGTTTGGATTAATTCCAGTCTGGTTTTCATAAAAAGCATTCAACAGAAACAGCTTTGCTTAAATTTTCCAGTGTTATCATGATGGCTGCAGACAACGGGGAGTTCACTGTGTTAGTATTGTTAGATCTTTCTAAAGCTTTTGACACCGTTGATCACTAACTAACAGACTTGGTGACTCGGTGGGGATCTCTGGAACTGTGCTAGACTGGTTTAGATTGTACCTTTCTAACAGATGTTACAATGTCTGTGTAAACCAAATCATGTCAGATTCTACCGATCAGTTTTGTGGGGTATCCCAAGGCTCTGTTTTGGGTCCACTCTTGTTTCTGCTGTACATGCACCCTCTTGGACAGATACTTGACTCTTTTCATAATGTCTCTTATCACCTATATGCAGATGATATTCAGCTGAATTGCTAAAGTGTCTATCAGCTATCACCAGCTGGCTAGAAGATAACTTCCTTCAGTTGAACTCTGAAAAGACTGAATGAATGAATGAAATCCTCTGAGAGTATGGTTCCCCTGATTAATCTAAAACTTGGTCATTTATCCTCTGCTGTCAATACAAACTTAAGGAATTTGGGTGTTGTTTTTGACCAATCAATGTCCTTTGAAGGCCACTCAAAAACATTGGTCCGAAACTGTTTTCATCACTTAAGAAATATCTTCAAACTATGAAGGTTAGTGTTAAAACATGAACTTGAAATGGTTCTCCATGCCTTTATCTCCTCCCGTCTAGATTACTGTAACACACTCCTCACATGTTTTAACAAAAAAAGCCCTTGACCGCCTTCAGTTGGTCCACAACTCTGCAGCGAGGCTCCTAACTGGAGCAAACAGAAGAGCACACATCACTCCTATTCTAATGTCTCTGCACTGGTTACCCGTTAACTTTAGAGTTAATTTTAGAATCCTGACTATAACTTTCAGGGCTCTACATGGTCAAGCTCCTCCCTATGTTAGTGACCTCAGGTCCACTCACCCAACACATTCTCACTCCCAGCGCGTCAAAAACAAACGCTTGGTCAGCCACTCTCCATGTCAGATCCTTGACACCAAAAGTGCCCTTTTTCGTTACTTATGTGCAAAAAGGGGTTTCTCCCTTTTCTGACTGCAGATCCCAATGCAGCGTAAAACTGACATGATGGGATGTCTGCTGATGCGGCACCGAACCAGCTCATTTAACCGCACCTAAACCTTACCGTTTTGCTATTTATAACCTTCCCCTCACCCTCATCCTAACCTTAACCCTCTTGCTACCTAAAACGTTACTCTCACTGTGATCAAGTGTTTGTTTCCCATGCATTCTGACTGTGAATTTTCGTATTTGCCGCCCAAGGGGAACGTTAGAACATACCATCTGGCGAGGGGGAGGTTACAAATACCCTCTACCTTTAACCTCCACCTTGGTAGTTGAAACCTCCCCCTCGCCTTGCCTCGGTCCAAACCCGACCAATGACAAGGCGGCTCCCTCAGTTTACTTCATAGAGCCGGCTTTTAGAGCGACCGACACATCACTAAAGTGTTAGCTAGCAAGATGGTTAAGGTTAGGATAGGGGTGAGGGGAAGGTTAAATAAGAGGATAAGGTTAGGGTGAGGTACAATGAGCTTGTTTGGTGCCCAGGCTGTGGACATCCCATCACGTCAGTTGTACGCTGCATTGGGATCTGCAGTCAAATAAGGGGAAAACCCTTTTCGCACATGAGTGACGAAAAAGGGCCCTTTTGGCGTCAGGTGTCTGACGCGTAGGGTGGCTGACCAAGCGTTTGTTTTTGAAACGCTGGGAGTGAGAATGTGCTGACCCACCAGAACCTTCTAGAAGTTCCAAAGGCCAGATATAAAAGTCGAGGTGATCGCTCCTTCCAGACTGTTGCACTCTGACTTTGGAGTGATCTTCCTTTACCCTCACGTAGTATTAGTCTGGACACTTTTAAAAAACAGCTAAAGACCCTTTTATTTAAAGCTGCTTTTTCGTGCATTTGTTTATGACATTTTGTAATTGTATGACTTTATTTTTTTCTGATGTTAATCTATTTCTGTTTTGAGATCATTATGATTTTATGTTTTATTTAGTTTTGATCTATGTGAAGCACTTTGTGATTCTATGTTTGTGATCAGTGCTATGTAAATAAAATGTACTTAAAATGACCTTTTACCCACACAAACATCAAATCTAAACAGATTCTTCATGTTAAATATTTCCTCCCGCAGATGATTGACCGCCAGCAGTCGGTACAGAGAAGACCAATGAGGAACCTTCCTGCAGTCCGAGGCCAGATGAAGACCAGCACCTACATTGTTCCCTGTTTCCTCTTTGTGGAGGTGAGTTGTCCAGCGGAAATGATTTTCAGCCGATCAGACTCAACTCCCACTGCAGAGCATCATGCTGAGTCTAACGACCAAAGATCTAATGAGTGCAGAAACAGCTGTGAGAAACCTTTAAGAGGTTAATATCGAAATGAAAATGTGAAAGAACATTTTGCATTCCCTCCCATTTCTCCCCCGTCCTTTCATGCGTTTCTCATGGTGGATTAACCAGAATCACTGTCAGCTGGAAAATTGCACGAATTGGCAGGCTCTGTTTTCAATTCGCCAACTCCCAAAAGCAACGATTGATTTGGATAAATTGTCACAAATGGGTAATTACCCTCAGCCAGTGAATCACTTAGTGATAACATTTAATCGGATGTTGAAGGAATCCATCACCAAGGCCCTCTCCAGCGACCTTTTTACCCACCAGCTCCTGCTCCTTTCTCTTCCCACGACTCTTCATCTTGTCTGTGTAATCCTGAAATGACCCGGTGGAGACCTCGTGGCCTTAGCAGACTTTCCATATTAATTGGCCTAATTAGGTTCAGAAACCCAATTAACCCGTCCCACAGCTAATGTGCTCCAAGCTCTCTGAGCTGTAACAGTGATAGAACGAGATGAGCTAGCGTTGTTGTTGTTGTTGTCATTGAGCTGCTCTGCAGCGTTGCTGAAAACGTCGATCGATGACACCCTTGGCAGAACTGAGGTGTTCAGGGTTAACGTTGATGAAAGTGGTGCACGAAGATGATTAAAGCTCAGAAATGTAGATTTTGCAACTGAATGTGAAGCCTGGAGGCAACAGAGAGAGCTGAAGAGAGATATGGAAATGTTTCTGATAATAGGACAAAGTTGGGTAAACACAGATCCCTGTGAAAAAACACTGGTTTTGGGAAAAGCTACTCTGGATTCGCTTCATCGTCAACTGACTCTAAAAAACCTTATCATTATGTTTCCATCTGTTCGTGCTAAATTAATACATCATATTTAGCTTGTTATGTTTTATCCAACTGATGTTAATACTGTTAAAGCCTTCAGAAGTAATACTGCTGTCTTTAGATGAAAGCTAGAGCATTGGAATGTTGGAATGCTTACTTTGGGAAGTGATTTGAGATGACTTGTTGGGACTTGGTGCAAAATAAATTAACTAAAATGAATTGAATGAAATTGAATTGGTTTCTAATACATTGGATCAGTTTTGACATTATAAGAATCTACACACAATTTCTAAAATGTACTTTCAGCATTTTATCCTGTCAGCGAGGTGGAAACATTCGTATTTTAAAGGTTCACAATGAAAGAATGAAGATAGAAGGACATCTTGTGGTCAAAGATGGGTACTACATTCCATTTTCAAACACACTGCCATTATGCGAGTTTCATGACTCTTTCCAGTTAGGAATCAGCGCCAGAACATTCTAGAAGATGAGTGAAAATGAGTTATACACAATTTTATAAGTAGATAAATGCAGTTCACTGTGATGTGGAGTTGTTGAAAAAGTAGCCTGAGATATATTTAGAGCCGAATATTGATTTCTAATTCATTGTTGGCATTGCTAGCTCAGAGTTAGCTTATCTTTAGTTGCTATTACAGTAAAACTAAAAAATGGTGTGGCTTCTTAGGGGTACAAGAAATAACTTCTGGGTCGCTCCTGTTTACTTTAGAAAACAATGCTGCTTTCAGCTAGCCGGTGTCCAGTTACAAATGCCAGTGCTGCAGCGTTAGCTTGGCGCGGACTCCGCAACCATGCAAGCTCAAAAATTGTAAACAAAGACCGCGTCCCTCTTTAGCCTTTTTAAAAGAAGACAAAATGGCTGAGAAGGAAATCAGTTTCATTGTCACCTTCCTTCCAACATGGCTGAGACATTAAACACTTTAGTTGTTTTTTCACTGTAAAACCCTTCAACGATGTTCCTTTAAGATGCGATCTTAAGCTGAGTTTGTAACATCCAGGGATAAACACACTTCCTCCACAAACAGCTGTGGTTCTACTCATTCTTTTATTATTTGTCCCGCTAACAGACAACCTAATGAACTTTTTTCAGGTTTCAACATCCTTCTCCTCAGCTTCTAACAGGCATGAAGTTAAGAAAACCAGCGAGGTGTTGATGCATTAGTCTTAGGCCTAGTCCACACGTAGCCGGGTTTTTTTGAAAACGAATATCCGCCCCTCCAAAAACTTGCATCCACACCACCGCGTTTTAAAAACAAACTCTGTCCACATGTACCCGGATAAATACGTTGTTAAGGACATGCCAGACCTGTAGGCGGCAGTACCTCCCCCATTCTTAACCTCGTCCTTCGTCTGTGGTCTTCCGCAAGGAGCAGTAATTCCGCTTGCAAAAACAAACAAGCAAAAAGCGCTTGGACAATCGATAAAGCGAGCGCAGCTCTGAGGGCATCCATGCTGTCGGCTAGTGTAAACACAGGTCGCACACGTGATATCAGCATTTTTTGTCGCGGAAAGTGACGTTGCGGACCTTTAAACTCCGGTTTTGTCTGTCCACACGCAGACACCCAAAACGGAGAAAACGCAGATCTTCACTTTGCCTGGAGTTTTTTAAAAGATCCGTTTTCGTGTGAAAAAACTCCGTTTTCGTGTGGATGACAGGCCAAAACGTAGAAAAATATCTACGTTTTGGCAGATCCCCGGCTACGTGTGGACAGGGCCTGATGTATTGCACTTGTTTTACCAGGTGATTAAAAACAACAGGTCATTCATTTGCGATTAAATCCACGAAAGCTTTTGAGGACATTTTTCAAGCCACGACGTCTTTATTTTTGAGATCTCTAGTCAACCGCATCACAGCTTTGTCCAGCACACACCTGCATCGTAGCAGAACCTTCCGAACACAAAGACATGACGACACACAGCTTTGCACACCCAGAACGAACTCCTCCCCTCCTACAGAATTCTCTTTGATGCTCTTGAGTGCACCCCAAGCTCCCTTTTCGCGTGTTCCTGGCATCTCTTTTCTCCAGCACGCATTCACTGGAGTAATTACATCATTTGCACCACATCTCTTCATTATTCCCTCTTATGTAAAACCTCCTCTCCTCTCCTCCTCCTCCACCCACGCAGAAGGCCTGTTTTCTGTTGCAGGGTCTCCTTGCTCCTCAACACTTCTGTCCGGTTTCCACACGTTTCCTGATTTCTGTTTGGTTCCTGCTTCCATTCTGTCCTCTCCAGGCCTCGTGTTTATCTCACGTCCCAGACTGAACGCTAAAGAGAGATAGTGCCTCTTTTGTCATTCTGCTGTCTCTGAGTGTGCTTGTGTTTGCTGGAACTCAGCCTGAGGTGGGGGTGAAGAGAATCCGGCTCGGCTTCCATTGCTGCACGTGCACCTTTGATGAATCTGCGTGCGTCGCTGCGGTTTAATGAAGGGCATTTTAAAATGAAATTCCTCCCTGGACTGTTCTCGTGCAAAAGCAGCTCGCTGTGGCATAGCTCTCCCCAGAGGGCACTCTATCCTTTGTTGCTACATTAGCATCTCATTACCTATTTGTGCTCCATTCAAACACCAAGTCCTGGTCCTCCTGCTCTGATCCTGATGCTGATTCCCTCTCTCGTTACAATCTGGTTCTTTGTCACCATCTGCTGTTCCTTTTATCTGCTGGATGATCGCGGCCCTTTTCCTGTCCCACACTCCCTTCATCACTCCTTCCATCTCTGTGGTAATCCCTCCTTTCACACCCCTCATGTTGCTCATCTGTATCTTCTGCTCCTCTGTGATTGTTTTACCCCCCCCCCGATCTAAACATGTACTCTTTGGCTTTTAGCAGCCTGGGGGTGAAGACAGCTTTATAGAGAGCTGATAAGTCTTTCTCCCTCCCCGTGCACGCTCGATTCTGTTGCTGTCAGAGCTGAAAACCACACAGGTGGCTGCTCATGGCCAGACACGGAGGCACCGTCCTCTTTCTGAAGTCAGGTTTCTGATGGAACAGCTTCCTGACAGTGGTGGGTGGGAGGGCGTTTGCTCAGAAGCGGTGCGATCAGGGTCAGACAGGCCCGCTGTGAGAGTCTGTTCTGAAGCTGAATCACAAAAAGTGGCTGTTTGAGAGGATTTCACAGAACCGCAGCGCTCGTAGTGAGGCATCAGCTGTAGTGATCGTAGAAATGATAATTGTTACTGCTCAGTGCTGGATGATGTAGATTCAGTGTGTGTGTGTGTGTGTGTGTGTGTGTGTGTGTGTGTGTGTGTGTGTGTGTGTGTGTGTGTGTGTGTGTGTGTGTGTCAGCGGCTTCACTCACCCTGATCAGATGAGCTTCCTCCTCCTCGCTCCTCTCTCTTTCCTCTTCCATAGTTTAGTGATTGCTTTAAAATAAACAGGCTGCTCAGCTTCAGATCAAATCAGAAGTCAGATTTGCAGCTTATGAAGTCTGTGATGATTCTCACTGCTTCTATTTATTCCCAGGTCTTTATAACCAGTTATATTGATACATTCCTCAGTGGGTTTAAAATGTAATTCATTCGTTTAGATTTCCACTTTTTTATACAATTATTTAGCATTTATTTTGGAAAGTTGCTATCGTTACAAATGTGTATTTTGGAAATTGGAGTTTTTAGGGACTTACATGGACAAGCACCATCTTACATTGGTGATCTTCTTAGTCCCTACACCCCCAGCAGGTCCCTGAGGTCCAGTGATCAAAGCCTACTGGTTGTGCAGCACCAGGCTGAAGGTCAAAGGTGACAGATCATTTGCTGCTGTGGCCCCCAGACTCTGGAACTCTCTCCCCCTGAGCCTGAGATCAGTGGACTCAGTGGTCTCCTTTAAAAAACAACTGAAGACTCACTTGTTCAAGCTGCTTGATTGATTCTTCCTCACCATCTTCTCTTTGTGCTGCTGTTTCTATCAATTCTCTGTTTTTCAGGCTCTTCTGCCTGCTTTTTCATGTTTGTTTTCTTTTTGTTATCTTAATTTAGAATTTGTACATTTGTATCTTTTTTTAAATAATCATTTAATCCATACTGAAGCATCTTGTGATATTTATCTTGACAAATGCTATAAA